TAACTCGCAACAAAAAATACAAAATTTGTGTTATCTGTAAGGCCAAAGAATTACATTAACAGTCTGCTGTAAACTTGCTGTACTTTGGATAATAATAAAATTACATATAAGATATGAAAATTGAACATCCTTTCCTAATAATATTAAGGATAATTCCTTAAATGTACTTCTCAAATTACTCAATTTTAGTGAAACTTCATCTCATTATTTAATATTACAATTAAGTTTTAAATAATTCAGAATTGGACAAAATTCAGTGAGTTCAGTTTAGAATGAAATAAAACTGATATGCAAATGAGCGCTCTTGTATGTAAATTTTGTTATGCTAATTTGCACAGGTATGCAAATTAAGCAAGTAAAAGCGCTTAATGTTAGATTGATGTTAAGTTTAACTTAATTTTATCTTTATTACAAGTGCTTGGCATATCAATCACATGAGTGAACTTGATATCAGACTGTTTCATTGCAATGGGGGAGGGTTTTTCTATCAAATTTTGCAGGGGAAAAAGAAGCAAAAAAAGTAGATTTATATTATTATCTAATTATTACATATTAAAAGCAGTTACCTACATGCACAATCACAACACATCACTACCACACTCTCCTTCTCTATCCCTGACTTTCTTGCTACTCTCTCTCACCTCCCAAATTTGTCAATCTCTCTTCGATAAACTAAAGCAAGAACTACCTCAATGGTTGAATTTCATTTCCACTAATGAGATTATTCATTACACATTAAAGCTTATAAATAGTTTATATCATTTTCTAGGCTCTGTAATTTGTGTTGGATTAAATTGCACATTGTCTTTAAGCATTCTATACAAAGTTCATTCAGATTTGTGATTACTATTAGTAAGATGAGGGGTATTATTTCCCAATAGACAAAACTGATTTGGATGGTCAGTGAGTTAGAATGTCATTAAAAACAAAAATGTAATGCTCTCAAATAAAACTTTTTGTAAGATAGGTCTTTTGAAATAATATTCAGTATCTCAGGAGATAAGTAAGATAGGTGTTCTCCAGAGATAATCTTAAGTGAATTAGGCGTTTTCTTGATATAATTTTGAGTAAGATAGGTGTTTTCTAGAGATACTCTTGAGTAAGATAGGTGTTCTCTAGAGATAATCTTAAGTAAGATGGGTGTTCTCTAGAGATAATCTTGAGTAAGATAGGTGTTCTCTAGAGATAATCTTAAGTGGGTTAGATGTTTTCTTGATATAATTTTGAATAAGATAGGTGTTTTCTAGAGATACTCTTGAGTAAGATAGGTGTTCTCTAGAGATAATCTTAAGTGGGTTAGATGTTTTCTGGATATAATTTTGAGTAAGATAGGTGATTTCTAGAGATACTCTTAAGTGAATTAGGTGTTTTCTGGATATAGTTTTGAGTAAGATAGGTGTTCTCTAGAGATAGTATTGAGTAAGATAGGTGTTTTCTTGAGATAATTTTGAGTAAGATAGGTGATTTCTAGAGATAATCTTAGGTAAGTTATGTTTACACTATTCAGCCAATGGAAATGAGTCTTAATTTTGAATTATTCATTTCCCAACAGAACAATGATGGAAAATTTACTGTTATACAATTAGTTGGAATGTTACGTGGTATAGCGTGTGGTATGCGATATCTCTCTGAGATGAACTACGTGCATCGTGACCTAGCAGCCAGGAATATATTAATCAATCATCGCTTGGTTTGTAAAGTTGCAGATTTTGGACTTTCCAGAATCAAAGAGGAAGGTGCTTATGAAACAAAGGTATGTAAGAAATCGCTGAGAATTTCTTGTTAAGAATTAGTGTGTATTCTGATGTTACCAGACCCTCTAGCTCATTACAATTTGATTTAGGTGACATCAAGTAAAGACTATTGACTCCTTAGTGCAATAATTAGTCCCCGTTCGGACGAAGTCCGAAAACGGGGACTTATAATTCGGTCTCCGTCCGTCCGTTCGTGCATGTGTCCGTGCGTCCGTCCGGAGTCATATCTCAGAGTCCCTTGGACCGATTCCGTTCATTCTTTGCATGTGCCTAGTATTTTATGTGGGACATATGCACATGCAGTGGTTTAGCGATTCGATTCAAAATGGCCGACTGGCAGCCATCTTGTTTTTTGAAAATGTCGTATTTTGGACATGCTTTGTCAGTTTTCATTCAAATTTACTACATAGATCATACATGTTAGGATACATGTCCCCGACCGTCCA